TCGGTGTGATTTTTACTTTTTCGCACTCTGTGCGCTCGAAATATGGTTGGAGCTTGAGAAAAGTAACAATTTAATTTGTTACTTTGAAACCTGGAAAAATAAACCCAATAAATAAATTAAATTCTCTTTATAATTCAATTCATGGTACATTGTGAATGATTTATTGTGTTTTGAGGGTTCAAAGTGCTATTATTGTTTTTCAAGGGTGCAAATTGCCAAAAGGCTCTATTTCGAGGGTACAAAGTGGGATTAAGCCTACTGATGGTTTGGATTCGAAATAATGTGGATATTGCATCTCTACCCATGCCCGGGCGATTTCTGCAATTTCAGGAAATGGTACTGGGGGCTGTTTTACAAATTCTGGAAGTGGCGCTGGATTTCTGCAGGGGGGCCTGCAGGTTCTGCGTATTATCATATTCACCCCCGCTTGGGTCTCCTCTGCAATTTTAAAACTTTTAGCTCTTTTGGTTTCTATTGTTTTAGAATTTTTATTTATTGCATTTTTAGCCCTCCTTTTGGGCCTATTTGTAATAGATTGTATAGGTGCTCCATACCCGGTTTTTATTCCTTCGATTTTGGGGTACTCTTTTCCTTGTGTGGACCCACAAGGTTTTTAACGAGACCCTCTTGCATTTTCATATGTATTTAATGGCATACAAACTTTTTGGCTAAAAGAAAAAGTTAATTTATAAAAATTAAATAATATGAGGATTTTTTTTTGAGAAAGAAATATGAGGATTTTCTTTATATAAAAAAAAGTCAAATGATTTCACAGTAGCAATACAAACAAAACTGGAATTACTTTGCAGGGCAAATTACGGCCTCCGAGTTTAGGTCATATTATGAAATATTCCTTTTTGTTTGCATAATTACAACCATCCCCTCATTTATGTATTCTCTTACACGTTCACTCTTGCGATGCCAAATTTACCTAGGGGTATTCATCCAGTTGGTAAACCGACCGAAAATTCGGTACATGCCGATTATCGAACCGGTATTCGGTGTGATATTTTTTTTTATTATTATTTTATATTTATATATGTGATATTAGTTTTCAAACTAAAATTAATTAAAAAAATCAAGTTTTAAATATTTTTTATAAAATTTTAATAATTCGGTTAGTTTCTGAACCGAACGCTAAACAGATTGAAATTTTAGCTTGCCGAAATTTCAGGTACAATCTTACCGAATGAACACGCCTATACCAACTGGAGAGACTTTTTCGTAAGATAATACATAGTTGATGGGTTGCCTGTAATTACACAACCTTGAAGGTATTTTTCATAATTTGATCTTACCTCGTGGGTGGCTGTAATTTGCCGTTACTTTGTATAAAGTGAAATTAGCTCTATGTATAACGTGTACAAAAAAAAAATTAAAAAAAAGAAAGTAAACAACTGGTATTACTTTGTTATTAAGTTTTAGGATTAAGTTAATAAGTTAGTAATTAATTTATGTAATATTCCGCTAAAATAATAAAATTTTATTTATCGTAATTGTATTAACTTATAAAGGTTTAGCTGAATAAGAGCCTCGTTTGTTGTTCTAAAAGAATTTATTTCGCCGGGACCTTCAATAGTCGAGTGCAAGCCCTAAAAATTGGATGTGGATTATTGAAAATTTAATCATAGTGACGACTAATATGGAGAAAAAAAGAAAATTCCCGCCGTTTTATAATATTTGTCACTTTTGAGAATTTTACATTAATATTTCCATTTATGCCCATTTTAACTCTCTCCAACACTTTTTTTTTTAATATAAATTTATTTCTCTATCTTATTAATTAGGATACAATGGTTATTTTTTAGTCTAAAAGGAAAAAGAAAGAAATTCAATCACTAAATATTTATTGAGATTCTTAATGCTTCTACAACTAAAAAATGATTGTCAATTAGGAAAGGAGGTAGTATCTAGCAACAAGTTACAACTTACAAGATAGTTAATATGAAGAGAGAGAGTGATGATATAATTAATTAAGAAATATCAAACCATTACACGTGTATATGGTAAATATAATTTGGTAGGGTGTGTGAATTTTTTTTTTCTTTTGGAAGTCATACAAAAAAAAAACTCGTACAATGAATGATTAGTACTAATATTAGGTTAGTGTACCGTTTTAGGGCAAAATTATATAATTAACTAGAAGAAACATCCGAAAATGGAACATGAACCCAATATAATTATCTAATTATTTATCTAATTTTAAAATTAGCGAAAATAAATTTTCAGAAAAGAAAAAAGAAAATAACTAAAAGCGGTTATTTCAACATGTACCCAGAAAAGCAAACAACGTTGCACCCCCCAAAATGGCTACTCACGTAAACCCAGCTCCCTCTCCCCCAATTTCAAGCCTTAAACCCAATCCCTAAACCCTACAACAACAGCAGCAGCCAAATTTCTCAGCCCCTCAGCCACCGGAGACCGCCCCTCTGCCACCACAAGGAACGGAAGAGAATTATTTTTTGAAAGCACAGAGAATAATGAGTTTGTGAAGCTGAAGGTATAATTGCATTTTTCTCTTTATTTTTTATTTTAATTTTTATTTTTCACCGGAAAATGATTTTGTGAATTTTCCGTCAACAGCAGCTGCCAAATTTCTCAGCCCCTCAGCCACCGGAGACCGCCCCTCTGCCACCACAAGGAACGGAAGAGAATTATTTTTTGAAAGCACAGAGAATAATGAGTTTGTGAAGCTGAAGGTATAATTGCATTTTTCTCTTTATTTTTTATTTTAATTTTTATTTTTCACCGGAAAATGATTTTGTGAATTTTCCGTCAACAGCAGCTGCCAAATTTCTCAGCCCCTCAGCCACTCTGCCACCACAAGGAACGGAAGAGAATTATTTTTTGAAAGCACAGATGATGATCAGTTTGTGAAGTAGAAGGTATTCTTACATTTTCCTCTTTATTTATTTTTTTCACATACCTTAGATCTAGATCTAGAACAAGCGCAACTGAGATTAGAATTTCGATCAATTTATCTCATAATTTAGCATAGCTGGGGAAGAATAGCTATACTCATATCACAGTATACAGAGTTTACCAGTTAGTTATGGAACATATATAGTGAATAAGCTATTATTATTTTAGTATTATTATTAACAAAAGTCAGTTATGACTTCTTGCAAAATACTGTCAATTGGAATCAACAAGCACAAGCAGGCCAAGTTCTGCAGTACTTGTTATATATTTTTTCTATTGATACGGAATTTCCGATTTCCGTCGGATCGATCTTAAAATTTTCCGATTTTCCGATTTCCGTCGGATCGATCTTAAAATTTTCCGATTTCCGTCGGATCGATCTTAAAATTTTCCGATTTCCGTCGGATCGATCTTAAAATTTTACGATTTCCGTCGGATCGATCTTAAAATTTTCCGATTTCCGTCCGATCGATCTTAAAATATTCTGATTTCCGCCGGATCGATCTTAAAATATTCCGATTTCCGCCGGTTCCATCTTAAAATTTTCCGATTTTGAAACAATATTTTTCACTCCGACTTGCGAAATTTCGACTTTTGGTTTTTCCAATTTATTTGGTTCGTAATTGGGATATATATGATATTTCGATTTTCCATCCGATTAGAGTTCCGAAAAAATAATACCGTTTTTTTTCCTGAATATTACACTTAAAATACCAATATTATTGTGTATTCCATTTACTATCTTAGGTGACCAAATATTGGAAATTTCCGAATTCCGCCGAATCCAATCGGAATTTTTCTGATTTTGGAACAAATTTTTTCGTTCCAATTTCCCAAAATTTTGATTTTCGATTTTCACATCCGAAAAAAAATGGTTTTTTTTTTAAGGGCTGGATCCGATCAGTCCGATTTACACCCCTAGATACGAGTAAGGAATTTATAGGTTTGTAACTGATGAAATTGATTCATGGTAAGCAACTAAACTGATTTTGGAACAATATTTTTCAATCCGACTTCCGAAATTCGACTTTCGATTTTTCCAAATTTATTTGGATCGTGGAATATTATATGATATTCCGATTTTCCATCCGATTTAAGTACCTAAAAAATATTCCGATTTTTTTTTCAAGAATATTACATTTAAAATACCAATTCCATATTTTTGGTGACCAAAAATTGGAAATTTCCGAATTCTGCCGAATCCAATCCGTTTTTCTTCCGATTTTGGAACAAGTTTTTTCGTTCCAATTTCAAAAAATTCGATTTTCGATTTTTTTCGAACGGAGATACTAGTTTTTCACTTCCGAAAAAAATCGGATTTTTTTTCGAAAGTGCTAGTTCCGATCCAATCCATCTGACTTACACCCCTAAATACGGGTAAGGACTTCATAGGTTTGTAAGAGAGACGAAATTAGTTCATAGTAAGCAACTAAAATGATTTTGGAACAATATTTTTTAATCCAACTTCCGAAATTTCGACTTTCGATTTTTCCAAATTTATTTGGATCGTAATTGGAATAGTATATGATATTCCGATTTTCCATTCGATTTAAGTTCCTATAATAATTCCAAAAATTCTGATTTTTTTTCCCGAATTTTACACTTAAAATACTAATATATATTCAGTATTCCATATTATAAGTGACCAAAAATTGGAAATTTCCGAACTCCGGCTAATCCAATTCGAAATTTTTAAATTTTGGAACAAGTTTTTTCGTTCCACTTTCCTTAAATTCGGATTTTCGATTTTTCCGATTTTTTTGGAACGGAACCATAACTAGTTTTTCACTTCCGAAAAGAACCAGACTTTATCTAAAAGGGCTAGTTCCGACATGAACCATCCGATTTACACCCCTAGAGACGAAAAAAATCGGACTTTATAGGTTTGTAAGAGAGATGAAATTGATTCATGGTTAGCAACTAAACTAAGCTCCTATTCAAATGTTCGTCATGGCTTTTCCTCAATTAGTTTTATAATTATGTTTTAGAAAGAAAAAAGAAGACAATTCAAATCTAAATTGTGACATAATGCAGAATCTATACAAGATATTAATAAAAAATATGCTATTATTCCAGGTATGGGATTCCCTCTTCCGGTTATCGATTCTGTTTACACAGCTTCGAAAGATTTACTAGTGTATGTGAAGTCAAAGAATACGCTATTCCGAGAACTCAACCTCAACTTAAGTTCGTTACTTACAGATTTGGTTACTATTAACTCAAAGAGGTTCGAACATGATCAGAAAATCAGTCTTTCGGCATTAAATTTAAAAAAAACTGGTGGATTCATCACTTTGGAAGAGGAGGCTGATCAAATAGAAAAAGAGTTCCAGATATTGTACCTCAAGCACCAGGAGGTTTGTCGGCTCCCATCAGCAGCTACACTCCATGCTGCATCGGCTCAGAACTCTGCCTCTACTATGCCTGCGATGACCGATGGAGTTTCCTTGTCTATAATGAATGCGATCAAGGAAAAAGATAGGAAGTTGAGCCGGTTCTCAAAAGAATTCTTTAATATCGCGCGCTTCAGTAAAGACATCGTTAGACTCTCCAGAAGAACTCCGAGGTTGGTCGAATTGTTAAGCAGGAGTACATTACAGCTGACTTACAGGATGGTTAATGTTGTTGAACTTCAACACCCCTCTCCTAATCCGGCTCATCATGTTATTCAAATCAGAGAGATCCTGAGGCACGTCTCCGATCAAGGGGTGAAGAAAATTGTCGTCACGGGGCCTGCTGGTGTCGGCAAAACTAGTTTATTACGAGGTTTTAATAATCAGTTGAAGCATCTTACCATGCCAAAGGATGATGGCACAGTAGATTTGGAGTTAGACCTGGTTATATGGGTAAGTGTCTCGAGAAAGGATGGAGTTGAAGAAATTCAAAACGCAATTGTGAAACGATTACACCTGCAGGATTGCGATGGTCTAAGCACAAAGGATAAGATGGATGCGATTTCCATATTTCTCAATAGCCGGAGATATGTGGTGATAATTGATGAAATTCACGTACACACTAATCTAGATAGTGTGGGGTTGCACGACAACCATCCGAATGGAACAGTTGTCATTGCAACTAAGAGCACGAGCATTACACAGAAGGTGGATGTCATAATTGAAGTAAAAAGATTGTCAGAAGATGATTCACTGATTCTGTTCCGTAGTATTTACGGTGAAATTGAAGAAAAAAACAAACAGAATGCTCAATTAGCAGTCGTAAGCTGTGGAGGAATTCCACACAACATTGAGCTGGTTGCTCGGTTTTTACAAGAAACCAACTCATTTCCCAATGTCATCAACATTCTAGGTCGTGCTGATATAACTCAAGGAAATGAAAAATTCAGCGATGCATATTTTCCAATTTTCGAAAACTTGCCAAAAGACGTACAAGATTGTTTGTTTTACTGCACAGTGTTTCCTCTGAACCATAGGATTCCGAAGGAGTATTTGGTTGAGTGTTGGTGGGCGGAGGGCCTATTGGATGTAGAAGGATTGCAGAGGTTAAGGGGCGGCAGACTTGAAGGATGGAGAATTTTGAACCAACTTATAGGAGACTATTGGCTGGACTCGTTTTCCGACGAGTATGTGAAGATGCCAATCTTGTGCAGACACATGGTCAAGAAATGGGGTGATAGTCAAAACCGTGTAGTATGGGTAGGTGACGGTAGACTTCCCAATCAAGCTAGGTGGAAGAAAGCAACAAGAGTGCGTGCAACCTCTTGTTCATTCGAACCGGATGCTGAAAGTCCGGCAACCAGCAACCTTACTACCCTACTACTGCAAGACAGCCCAGATTTAGTGCAGATTAAAGACTCTTTCTTCATTGGTATGAAAGAGCTTGCCATTTTCGACCTGTTTAAAACCGGCATAACGTCACTGCCAACGTCAATTTTCGGTTTAACCAATCTTGTCAGTTTGTATGTGAACGGATGCTATTCACTTAATGAGCTACCAGCGGAAATAGAAAACCTGAAGAAACTCGAGCTGTTGGATACTCGGGGGAGTTCCATCCGTAGCTTGCCGGTTGAAATCGGCAAAATGTCAAGTTTGAGGTGTTTGAGAGTCACGCTGGGGACAAAGGGGTGCAACCGAGAAATGAGACAAGAGAAGGTGATCATTCCTCTGGAAATAATTAGAGGACTCGGAAAGTTGGAGGAGTTGATCATTGAAATAGGTTGTTGCAACCGAAGTTGGAGCGAAATAGTTGATGATGTAGTAGAAGAAATATCAAGTTTAAAGATTTTGACAACCCTTCACTTTCATTTTCCCAATGTGCAGACTCTCCAAAAATTTGTGACAGCTAGCATATCATGGAAAAACATACACACTACATGGAACGTTTCGACTTTCCATTCCTTCAAATTTTCAGTGGGTTGTTGTGAACAAGTACAGTATGGAGAACTCAAAGTATCTCAAGTGTTACCTCAAAAACATCTGATATTGTGCAATGCCAAAGACATTTCTTTGATTGACGAAGTGGTAAAGCAGATGAGTACTTTTGAGGTAGTTAACCATTCAAGAATCAAAAGCCTGAGTGAGTTTGAGTTAGATAAAGCAACTGAACTCAAGGTTTGTGCTGTAAAAGACTGCAAGGAGCTATTGAGTATTGTGGATGGTGATCAAATCAATGATATGAGAGGTGGCATCATGGAGGGTGTCCTTCAAAAGTTAGAGAAGTTGCATCTATTTGGCCTCATGTCCCTGCAATGTATATGGAAGGGAGAATTTTTCAAAATGAGTATTGCAAAGCTAAAGGTTCTAACATTGCATGACTGTCCCAAGCTAACCGATGTTCTGTCTGTCGAACTAGCACGAGCTCTGTTGAGTTTAGAACATTTGAGGGTTGATAACTGTTGCATTCTTGAACAAATTATTAGGGTAGAAACTTCGAACAATCTAGCTGATATTCTACCCAAACTGGAAACTCTTGAAGTTGAGAACTTGCCAAATCTGAAAACCATTTGCGAGAGTTACACGATAAACTGGACATCATTGAGAAGGATCACTATTAAAGATTGCAAGAGCCTACAGAGTGTTCCTCTGACACTTATGTTAAGTGTATATTTATACACTTAATTATACCTTTTAATTGGAGCTTTTGGTGTGTTTTTACGATAATTGGTGCTTAATTTGGTTATTATTTGTATTTTAGGTGCGAATTGAAGAATTGGCAACTTTTGGGGTGAAAACTGCAAATTCAGAGAAAAAGTGGGCCAAAAGTGAAAAAACCAGATTTCTGCAGAATTAAAGCCCGCGCGGCCGTGCGGATTTTAAAGCATAATCTCGCACGGCCGTCCGGATAGTCGTAGGGGCGCAGTGAAGGAATTTTAATTACACAAGGAAACCCGCCCTATTATATTTTTGCACCCTATTTAAAGGCCACAAGCACACAATTAGAGATCATCACTTGCGTGTTGGTATTTAGCACCCAACAACTTACTAATGCGGAAAACCTAGCAACAATCAGTTGTGAAGCTAGTTGGTGGAATAATATCCAGTTGTCGGAGGAAGTCAAAAATTTGTTTGCCTCTCGTGTACTTTCCAGCGAGACAAATTGAAATTAAAAAAAAAAAAAAAAAAAAAAAAAAAAAAAAAAAAAAAGGGAGAGAAAATCCCAAAAAAAAGCAGCAAAAAAATAAGGTACAAGTTTTGAGCGGTCCTAGTGCTTGACATCAGAAAGGTGTGTTCTTTCTCCTTGCTCGTTTTCCTCTTATTTTGAATCAAGAGTTTTGAGCATGTCTTGTTTCACTATCTTGGTCATCTTTATCAACTCGTTCGTCATCTTCACTTGCATGCAGAGATAGAGACTTTAAAAGAAAGAAGCTGGTTGAGCTCGGGCTCAAAACAATGATGGTCAGGACACGTTAGATATTATATATATACTACAGTTTAATGCAGATAAGCGGAGGCTGTAAAGCCACTTTCTAGACCAAAGTCTCAGCTGACACCCTACAGAACTGTGATCATTATGCAACTGATTATTGTGACCCTTTTCTTCCATTACCGTGTAACTCATTCTGTTGATAGTGCCTTCCCTCTCTGGCTCATTTCTGTCATTTGTGAGATCTCGCCCAAGTGGATTATCCTATACTCTTGAGTAGAAACTGTCCTTTGTGGTATGGATTTGGAGGTGATTGCCTCAAATTTCTATCCTTTCATATCGATCTGTCCCTCTGATTTTTATCCTATCGCTTACCGCCTGCTATGTGCCGTTTAACTGTGAAGTTAATCATATATACCATCGGTAATTCTCTTTGCTTCTCCTTTCCAAATTTCATTGAATTCTTGCAAATCCAAATCAATTTGGATCAACAGTTAATTTCTATATCTTACATTTTTTGCAGTTAATATATCTTTTGAAGGAGCCATTGCTTTTCAGCAGTTACTGGCATATTAATTGTTGAGTAGGTAGTAGTAAAATACAAGGAGTCTGAAGCCGTTTGGCGGGCTGATGCCTTACGATGTCAGCAAATGTTTCATAGCTCTGTTTACTGTCCTGCACCTTGATTCTTTGATTCGAATGATCCATCGACAAAAGGGTAATTTTTATCTTTCCTTATAAAGTGATTTTCATGTACATTTATGTAGTCATGATTTGCACTACATTTGCTGAGGTATCGATATTTAAAGATTTGATCTCTTCAGCATACTTCATTATATGGCGTTCTTATATACATTGCATCTTCGTTCTTTTTTTGTCCCAAGAATGGAGAAAATCTAGTTTAAACATACAAGTGCAGAAACCTGGAAGACTTTCCTTAAATTGTGTAAAAAGATATCCAACTAGGTCAAGTCACATCCATCCATTTTATTGCTATAAGTGATATGTTCCTGCACAAAAGTGTCAATCACTTCAACCGTTGTGGTAGATGCACCTTGTGTTGTTTTACGGTTACCTACACTCTCAGATGTACATAACCATCATGGCCCGAATTTTCTGCATTAAGTAGTTGACTTTTGGCATAATGTGAGAATAAATAGTGGTTTTGTTCACTTGCTTGGATGTTTTGCATATGCGGTTCGTGTTCAATAGAAAACAACAGAATTGCATGCGCTAATCTGTTTGAGTTGCAGGTTTTGTGGGTTCAGTGACACTTTGATTCGATTGTTAACTTGAAGTATTTTGTTCAAAAACACCCGAGGAAAACTAATGTCATGCATGATCTGTCGTCTTAAGGACCTTGGTCTGCGGTTTCTTAAGATAGATTGTTTATTTAAACTCTGATTGGGTGAACAAGTGTGGATTAATTAAAACTCTGATGGTCAATTCATCCGCCACCATTGTTTCTAATATACACTCATGGTACGGTACTTAAAATACTTGAAGAGTTGTTTAAAGTTTGAATAAACGAGTAATATGTATCCGAAAAAAATTTGGAGTTTCATGCAAGTAACTCTTTAGTGTCGTCACCTACTCAACAGTTTGATGCTCTAAGACCATAAGCTATGCCACAACAATTGATTTAATGCTCTTTGTTTACCTAACTTTTGCCTTTAGTGCTACTATTTGTTCAAATACTTCCTGCTAATTGTCTTGCTCGAATGCAATTCTTGGTGTGATGGTACATAACTAGGTAAAACAGATTCTTTGAAGTTGGATTTAGTGTATTGTGACTAGAAATTTGAACAAGATTTACGTCAAATGAAGATAGGGGCAGAATGAGAAAGTGAGGTTGTAAGAAGTTCAAAATTCCTAAACATTTAATCTCTTAGATCAAACTTTTGTAATGTCTAGATATTGTTATCATTAGCTCCTTACGAGTTTAATCTCATAATTTGAATCGGGAAGTTCTTTTATATCATTGGTTTGCGAGATTGTAGTAACTCTCATAAGTCGAACCCTCTTAGATTCAACTTGTACTGTTTGGAATATCATAAGTCCAGCCCTCTTAGAAAACTTGAATGCTGAAAGGAAAATTATTGGAAACCAATTGATTTGTAGCAAGTTATTTTCATGTCGAATGCTACTGTGCTCTGCTTGATTATAGCTGGTGTTAATGTAATTTGTGGGCTATTTTAAACAAAAAAATTGGTCTGTGTCAAGTTGAAAATATTCTGATGTCTGCTCGGATATTTTTTTTGATGAGATACGAATTAGCATTTTGCATTGAATAGTTTTGAAAATGATATTTTTGTTTTCTGAAAATGCAGCTCTGGGATTATTCCTTTTGACCACGAAACTAATCGTCTTGCCGGTGGCATCATCAGGGATTCTCCATCTGGAAAAGTAACGACTCTAACAAAGGTTAGCCATCTTCCTTCAGTAAGCTTTCCTGACATTTGTTTTAACATGTAACTATTTAATTATGCTTCAATATATTGCCAAAATCGAAATTGATTTTCTTATCTGATGTGCCAGGTTATGAATTTGTTCGTCAGTAGAGTCGAATCGAGTCTATTCACTGAAGAAAGGATGAAATCTCAATCATCAATGTTGCTAATGCGATGAAGAAGGATGAAATTGAGAGGGTGTGTGGCCAAAGCCAACTGTTACGAGAGGGTATAGGAGAGGAGTTTTAAACATGACGGAATTCGTAAACTTCGTTTCTGTTTTGTTCTCGGAACTCATTGCACAATCCCGACTTATTGCCATTTTGTTAATGCTTTGATCTTGAAAACATCACTTGCTTATTATATATAGCAAGCAAAAAGAATATGAATTTCTTCTTTGCCCCTTGCCACCAAACAATTTCAAAATCTTACCAGGTTTTAATCTTATTCGACGACGCCAATAGTAGAAAGAAACATAAATAAGCTTAACAAACGCGGATTTGATGGAAAGTTTTGGGGAAAGTGTCCATCTCTATAAAAGTTCAACTTGACCATATACCTAATTAAGGCTGCGGCACGTTCTGGCCAACGGTCATAATCCTCGGAGTGCGCGCTAATGCTTAGTGATTCCAATGCCTCAAGTTTTGATAAAATATTGTGATGAATCGTTGGACATTTCAGAACCGGATAGTTTTCTTCGTATTCAGATCCAAAAATTGGTAGCTGCAAATGCTTTAGGAGAGTGAGCTCGCCGATTTGAGCGGGAAGAACATACTGCCGAGTACACTTCCAAATTGTTCAATTTCTCTATTTCAACTGGAATTTCTTCCACACAATAACAGTTTCTCAACAATAAAACTTTAAGTTTCGAGAGCCGGAAAAGTGATTCTGGCAAGGACCGGACTCTCGTATTTGACTAGTCCAAGAAACACAAATCGGGCATGTTGTCAAAAAATAAGGGACCAATGGTATTAAGAAACTTACTCCCTTGCATGAATAGAAGTGAGCAATTAGGGTACTCCGGTTTCTCAGGTAGCTTAAAAAACTCTTGTTCCGCCAAATTGAACACTTTTTCCACTCGGGAACTTTCTTGTGGTCCAGGTAGACAATTTTGAACCGAAATAGTATGGTGATTCAATTGCAACTCGATACTACGGCCCTTGATAGCAAACAAATAGGGTTTATTTTATGGAATAGAAACCTTTGTTATCGTGTCCTCAAAAGCCGTACTCTTTTCGATTTTTTCACTCTGCATTTGTAGCTTTCTGATGTCTCTACTGAGCTTTGCAAGTGAGAAGAACCTGCGTGTAATGATGGTTGGTTTTTCCGCTTCGAGAGCATCAGTCGACATTACATTTGGGAGGCGCTTGCAATGAATGCGTTATGCGTTTATGAAATTATTGTATTTATCGTCGAAAATCCGCATTTCTTGAATCAAGATACGGTACTCGTCTGTTTTTTCTCTCGGCAAAGACTTTTCGAGGAATTGATTGATTTGCTTCTTCCTTAAACAAAAGAAGGTCACCTTTGCTAAAAGTTGTTCCAAATCTCGGACTTATTTTTCGTTCAAACATGATAACATGTCTTTAACAGGTGACGGAAACTTCAAGCTCGGTCTATCCATCTCGGAAACCGGTCTACAAATGTAGACATTATTAAATTATAAGAATCTATAGCTACAAACGCAATATATGATTCCAAATTAAACATGCTCTAAAGAACACAGAAACTTGACTGTTTTCAGCATACAATAGAAGCAGTGGCGGAGCCACTATGGTTCTAGGGTGTGCAACTGCACACCCAATATTCACTATATATTTTTCAATATGTTTCTTTAGTGTTATGTTGTTCTAGCTTGAATGGTTAAGGTCACTTTGACTTTATGATTTCTAGCCATTTTTTCCACATTTGGACATTTTCGGACTACTTTGCCCCATATATATATATATATATATATATATATATATATATATATATATATATATATATATATATATTTTGAATGTTTCTTTTTTTCTTTTTGTAATATTTATGACTTTTTTAACTAGAAACTATAATTAATAGGGCAAAATACAGTTTACACCCCTGAACTATGGGGGTTGTATCAGTTTGCCCCCTTGAACTACAAAACGTCCCAAAGGCCCCCTTTTGTTTGTAAATGTTGATGTGGCACTTTGACTTTATGATTTCTAGCCATTTTTTCCACCTTTGGACATTTTCGGACTACTTTGCCCCTCTAGTCAATTACATATATATATATATATATATATGTGTGTGTGTGTGTGTATTAAAGCTCTTTTACCGACTTTTTTTCTTATTTTGTCAAGGTTTTTTGCTCCATATTTTTGGGCTTCTTTTTTTCTTCTTATTTAACCATTAAAATGCCACTGTTTTTTTCTTCTAAAATTTATTAAAATGTCGAGTAACAGCTCAAATACACAAAAATCTTGTACTTCGTGTTACAAGACATCTTATGATGCACGGAAATCACCCCAAAAGTTATGCATTTAATGAAGGGAATAAATAAAAAATGCACAAAATTGAACAAAAAGGCAATTAGCAAACATATTGAATCCAAAAATTAAACACAATTAAGAAAATCATGTAAACCATAATTTCACTTCAATCACAAATTCATAACAAAATCGACAAATACAACACGTATTAATTATATAATTATTAAGTTTCTTACAACAAACCCCAAAGGCAGAGAAGTAATTGCACATTTAAATTAAATGTGTTAATAATTTATTGGTTGACCATAAACTCGAGGAGGGTATTTGAGACGTTTCGTAGTTCAAGGGGGCAAACTGGTACAACCTCTATAGTTCATGGGTGTAAACTGTACTTTGCCCTAATTAATATTCAGTTTTTTGAATATTTTCACCAAGTTTATGTCTAAATATTTCCTAAATTATCCCAAAATTTGTAAATGATCTTTTTTTATTTGAAGTTTTTACATATTTCTATTATTTTATGTGTATACTATTTTTAAAATAAATATCGGGGGCGCTGCCCCCGAATCCCCGTAAACTTTTAGTCCAATCTTGAACACCCTTGGCAAAAAACCTGGATTCGCCACTGTATAGAAGCACGAGATCTTATAGATACATATTCAAGATTTGAGTTTCAGCAAATTTCCAACTAAAATTTAGGCATATATTTTCTGAATTCTTCGAAACAAAGAATAGGAACCGTACATAACCCAAAATCAAACCACAAATCATACAGAAAACCATGTTATAAAGTAGGGTAAATTCCACTTTCCCCCTTGTACTTTGGCTCGACACTTTACCCTCTTCTACTCTCGATTGCATCGATTTGCCCCCCTCTACTTTAAAAAATGTCTCAACGTGGCCCTCGCCGTTAGTTTTAAGACCTTTGACCTTAACACCGTTAGATCTAGGTCTGAAAATTACAAAAAAACCACCCTCACAATTTAAATAATTATTAAAATAATAATAATAATAATAATAATAAAAAAAAATTGAGGTTGGCGTCATGGACTATGTTTTGCTTTTAAATTTCTATCATTATTTTTTTCTTTTTGTTTTTTTAATAATTATTTAAACTGGGGGAGGTGGCGTTTTTGTAATTTCAGAGCTTAGATCAAACAGTGTTAATGTCAAATGTCTGACAACTACAACGAGGGCCACATTGAGACAATTTTTAAAGTGCAAGGGGCAAATCGATGCAATCGAAAGTAGAAGGGGGTAAAGTAATACCGAACAAACGTACCAGGAGGAAAGTGGAATTTATACCCAATAAAGTATAAACAACATACATGATCGAAAAAAGATAATTATTATTGTGATTCTTAAAATAAAAATTTAAGAAAACCCTAATCCTTATCTTGTTCAGAAGGGAACGGGGTGTAATCAAAGGGAATACGCGTTGCTTGAAATCTCCAACAATTATATGTCATTATTTTTTTTCAATTACTAATAACTTGTATTAATAAGTGAGAAAAATAATAATTTAAAAATTGTTGTAAAATGGCCTATTTATCTAGCTCTTTGGTTTGTGTTTGTGGAAATACATAAGAACATAATAACGATAATGGAGAGCGAATGAGAGAATGCAAAGAACAAGAATCCGTAGAGAGAAAATTGTGGGTATCCATGGGGAGGGAGTTTTTCTCATTAATATAGGTGTAAGCCACCGGAAGTTACAAGGAGGAGTTACAAATGGAAGTTCCATGGAAGTTATTTCCTGCACACATCATGGGACTAAGGTGTGGGAAGTTTACACTAGTGGGAGGTTGAAAACCATCAAGTGGTTATGTTAGGAAACCACACATTCCATACTATTTACAACACTCCCCCTTGGGTTCCTATCAAACCACTATTGTGCTTTTTGTGTTGCCTCGTTAAAACCTTCCGAGTCATAAAACCCATTGGGAAAAAAACAATCTCGGTTAGGGAAAAGAGTACAACGCACAATCTTTTCAATCAACAAATGTTGCCTCATTAAAACCTTGTCGAGTAACTAAAACCCTGTGGGAAAAATAAACCTCGCACGAAGGAAAAAGAGTACAACAGGGCACTCGGGTATCTTCTGGATACTGAGTACCTACAGGGTACTCCCCCTCAAGTTAACTCCCCCTGATGTCTACAAGGGAGCGAGCTTGTATAATCTACGCAAGTCAAAAGCCTTAACATGAATTTTCATAGTGACTTTAGGCGAAGACTTAGTAAATAAGTTTGCGTAGTTAACTTAAATCATGATCTGGATCATTTCAGCTCTTATTGTTGTTGATTGAAGAAAACTTCAAAGCTATGTACATGGAGTTATCACTTTAATGAAGCCCGTCTTCATTTGCTCAATGCATACTGTATTACAGTAAAATACAATATCGTAGGATCTTTTGTGTTAGTCGATTCACAGGAATCTCGAACATGCATAATCATGGCTTCAGGCCAAGTGCATTCACTCACTATCTTGTGAAACAAACATCATGCATGATTTGATCTAGTGACAACCGATGTACATTTCATAGAATGCCTTCTAGTCAATGCCAATATAAACCACAATTTTCGCCTCATTCATTGATGCATAGAGTAAGGTGAGATAAGTCTATCATATAAATTTACCGAAAAATCTTAATCATATCGAGTACATGGAGTTAAGCATAATAATGCATATATTGCATTTACATATGGCACTTCTGGTGCTAACACTTCCTCGTCCTTCTCCATGGGACGAAATGAATCATTGGACCTATTCCACTTTCCAACTCCTATAGGTGTTACTCGATAATTTATCTTTATCCATAACATCTTCTGGATGTAATTCGATTGATGGACAAAAAT